GGGGGGGGGGGAGTTCCTGATTGAAAAGCATTGAAATATTTTTTCTGTGGTTTACGAGAAACGTTTACAGGAAGGTCGTCGGGCTTACTTTCCAAACAGCTAATCGGGAACGCAGCATTTAACACCGAAACCCACGATCCTTTGACCTCGACCCACAATTCTTTAGGCAAAACTCGCAATGCTTCGGTCACGACCAGTAGCATCGACGCACAAACTGTATTCATGCCGCTGTAGGCGAGTATGACAAAAATGTACCGGGATGTTCGGTGATCAGAAAATTTGAGAAGCTTGACTAGGGAATGAGTAGGTCCGGCAGTCGTATGCTGCGCAGCTGATCATCGTAATGGTATCCAATGTTGTACAATGTGTCGGTATTGTCCAACCATTTGGTCTATCTCCGAAGGTTTCAATGTTTTCAGTGAACTAACGAATGAATACTTAACGAATTAGCGTTACATGTTTTANCAGGATTAGCAAATTTTAGTATTTATCGAACATGGCTATTTGTCAATCATGTTCTCCAAGCGAATGCGTTCTTTGATCCACAATCAAATCAATTATGATTCTTTTGACGACTAATGTGTTTATACCTGGGATTTATTCCACTTGCTTTTCCGATTGGATTTTGCGAGATGTGTAGCTTGTGCTTGGTGTTTAACAGACAGATTATATACTTCAAAACCACACACACATATGCACGCACAAGTGATTGATTCATTTTAAGCGACACCGAACTCCATCGGATGGTAAACAATTGTGTTATCGTTGCCGTGTGTCATCGTCTCTTCTTTGTCAGCATTTGCTTGTTTCCTTTCGATACCGTGGTTTGCTGGAACCGGTTGAACATGATGAAACGTTTCCTCTTCTGGACCCTGGGGAACCACAAAAAACGCAGTCGGTCGTTCATTGCTGGAGGGAATATGGAACATGTCCACTGCTACATCGTTGTGCAGATGGGAAATTGAAAACTGTTTTCTGAAATGCTGCTTGCCATCCTTGTTGTTGTTGTTGTTGCTGTTGCCTTCATTGGTTTCCCCTTTTTTTTGTTTATTTTCCCAGTAGCTTTGACCGAGTCTAATTGTTTCTTTTTATGCTTTGTCTCACCGTTTAATTCAAGTGACTACTAATGGGCTTTTATTGATTGATGTGAACTAAAAATCCTTCGGACTTCACCTGCATGCACACTCTTCAGTTCACCGATTCGACCACCCACTCGGAAGCTCTGAAACTCGAGTCTCGCTCTCTCAGTAGAGCTCATCAGTAGTGCATATCCACCGTCTGACCGTCCGAGCTTCCAACTCCGGACCTATCGGGCATGATAGGCGTGTATGTTACCACTGTGCCAACCAGCTCATGCCAGGGCTGACCCGAATGCCAATTCATGTGTGTTAAGGTGTCGTTTTCAGTCAGTTCATTCGGCTCCAAAGCAACGAAGGCAGATACAGATGACAATCTGTTAATTCCAATCGAAAGCCTCTCACCAAGTTAGGACTTCCATACAGTATCAGTATCAATTATCCCACACCACTAATTACAAGTAGCTGTGAGTTAAATGCGAACAGGGCTTTTGTATTGATTTTTCGTTTCAGGAAAACACGTCGTTTTGAGCTATGGAACCAACCTGCTCTCAATCAGAACTGATTCGCTCGAGCAGGGCCTCATGCATTGCCGGAAAGTGAACTGGGCCCGTGAACCCGGTTCAGATTGAGGAACGAATACTGTAATTTTTCCAATCTGTTTGGCCTCTGTTCGTGTGCAAAAATACGTTTGATTTGTGGAAAATTACAGGCAGCACAACAACAAAACAGTATTTATTTCCCATGTGAATCAACTGGATTAGCTCTAAATTGAAAATACACTGTTTGCAGGGTAGAAACAATGATTTAATTGGATCAGATCTTATCTAAACACGAACAAGTGCCATAGGAATGCCTCAAATTGCAGCTCACTCGATTTTCTCATTGGAAGCGCATGATTTGTTGTTTAACGGTCAACCCAGAGATGTTGACATGCAAATAATGAAAGTGTAAACGTTCACATGCAATGAATGGAGTGATTTTGAGCACTGATGAACGGTTAGTTGCCTGGTAACGGGAAATCACTGAGATGTTTCGGACAATGATCAGTTGTTCATGTAGAATGTTGTAAACGAATCAGATAACCAATGTGAAACATTGTCCGGTCAGAGGATGGCATATTTCTGACGATTAAATGAGTGGTGTGCGTCACAAGTGGCCACGTGTTGCAACCCAATGAAGCACGTTCACATCCACGCACATTCATTAGTATATATACGCGTGTTGATCAAACTCATTCAAAATCACTCTCATTTTGAAAATACATTTCAGTCTCCCATATCATACTGGTATATTGATAACTATGGGCCGCCTGAAACCGTCGAATTCATTTAATTACCACCCAGCAGTATGGATTTGAATGTAATCGAAAAATTTTACCTGTATTTGAATCAGGGATAGGTTNAGTTTCCTCAACATCAGTCTTCAGTGTTTCGGGTAAGCGATGAATTAGCGGAAACTGGCAGATACTGTTGGGTGGTCAACTTGCCGAATTGCAAGCGAAAGCGGTTGCCTCCAGTGCTTAAAAATGATAAAGGGCGAATGGAAGATTGACACATTGAATGAACACTATCTGTATCCGGCTTATGAGTCCATTTTGTAAATGGATTCTGATTACTTTTTGCTAAAGCTTCGCTATTGTACAATTGATGCATCAAAAACCGTCGTCGAAATGAACAATTCGTATATATTTTGTGGGGATTCCACTAATAGGAAGAGAAATATAAGTATATATATTTATATATAATTATAAAGTATAATATATTTTGGCAGTACTATATTCAATCCGATGACTGAGGCTCGAAACGCTAAGCGTCGGAGAGGGACGGGGACAAATGCACTAATTTCAATATTACCCTTATATATATATATATATATATGTATATAAATATATAAGATTCTGTTTATTCTTTCTTGTTCCTGTACAACGGTGTACACTGAGAGCACGAGCTCTATGCGGTTAGTCTGTACACAAGGCTTGCAAAGTCAATAAGGCAAGTGATTAGTTCATTGACTTGACCTGGATGTTTCGCCGACACACTATCTGGTCCTTAAACAACAATCTAAGCGGATCAAGTCGTGCAGCCTGGCCACGGCAAACTCGGTGTGAAATCGAATTCACACGCACACACACACACACACACAGACCTTCTATGAATAAGAACAATTTTGGGATCGTTTTGTCTTCTATGTCAGTCCGATGGATCGATTTTCATTGGTTCATCCCAATGGCTCGTCACATCCGGACTAGATACCATACCGGAAACAATAGATATTATTTAATTTACAAGTTTATTCCTGCTTTTTCTGTCAATTCATCTACCTTATGTTTTTGCCAGAGTCAAAGAAAACTAGTCCCCGAAAACCGAGCGTAGTTTACCTGCAACGTACTCTACCCAAAACGTGATTTAATCACTGAATCCAACAGTACAAATAAAAAACACGTCTGCAATATAACAAACAGTAACTATTGCTTTGATTAAGTGGATTTTCTTTCTAACCCGTACTCCTGCTTACCACTGGTGGACGTTCGAGGTATGAATGTAATTGTCACTATAGTCTCGTGCCACCGTATTTATCGTTTTGAGAAAAAAAATAATCAGTTGATTTCATTTTGTGTATTGATTTCAGTCTGTTCGGATTAGTATATTTTTATTTTCAATTGTACGCATTTTGTCCATTCGTGTATCCATTTATTTGAGGATCTCTATGTTGGGAATCTAGCTACTATATCGCTTGGAAATTTTATTCGATTACAGCTCAGGTAGTGTGGTAACATAAAAGGATGTCTGTACGATTTATGTGTATGCAAAGGACTGTGGCAACCTAGGAGGGCTTAACAAAAACGTTTCCGAATGCACAGAAGTTTTATTTAGATAATACATTTTCTCAATGTATTTCCTATCATCGTTAGTGCACAGTTTCATGCGCTCAAACCATTTGGTGCAACAGCTTGCCCAGGCCGAAGTGGGCAGCGTTTCGACCTATTTGATGAAAGCCTCTACTGGAGCTGTTGCTGACTTGTATCGGATTCCACGTAGGATATGCTTGACATTTGGGAACACAATGCTTCTTGAAGGCATCTTATCATCAAAGGCAGCTCGCAAACGATCAACACTATGCGGCTGCTGCTTTAAACCACACTTATAGTTTTAGAAAAATGTCACTCTCCAGTGGGATCAACTGAGTTCCATCCTTACGACAGTCCGATTGTATAGTGACCCTTGTTAGACTTGTGAGCTGTACTTGGCTGTTGATTTTTGGTTATGTGTGAGTTGCAATCACTGAACAATAGGTTCACAATACGAGATTACAGTTCACGTTTTTCCTAACCCCGGTCACCTGCACCGCGTACTCGTCGTGTACTGCGTACCCGGCACCATTTTGCGTAGCTCTCGTACTTTGAAACGGAAGTTCAGTGCGTTGTCATCTTGCTCTTATGGAAGGATCTTTGCACTGTAGTTCATTTAAATAAATAAGTATTTGGATACAGTACCCATTTTCTAATGGGAACTTCATCACGTGACTCCATTAATTTACACAAACAGAGTTTAATCAAAGAAAAAAATTGAGGATGAAAATGTGGGCAAAGAATATCTCCAGTTCGTCCACATGCTATTCACGTTTTGCTTGTTGTTTACCGACCATTCACAATCAACTACTAACCGGATAACTGTGAAGCTCGATTCGGGGACCAGGTTGTGTTTGTCATTACGATACAATTGGTTTCAGCAGAATAGAAGTCTTATATTGATCAACTAAAGCGTTCTATCTAGTTGAACCTTTCAGATGTAACTTAGATTTAGAGAAAATTGGGACAGAGTAAAGCTTGCACGAAAAGTTCAGTGCTTTTGTAATGGCACAATGAAAAAAATTTCCTGATCTATAATAATAGTTTTAGATAACAGACTAATATATTCATGTATTTAGTGCTACCTACCACTGTATCAGAAACTGATAGTATCGAATGATTACCGACATTTGGCGGATGATGCCTTCGTTTCGTTCTGTCATGTGTTGAACCCAGTTTACTACAAAAGGGTTTGCCGCTAAAAGAGATCTCGTCTGTCTGGTTGATCTATAACTTCCCGGAAAGGGTATTCTCCACCGCATCGCGAGATCGGTATTCACAATGCTACCAGGGCGATTTTATCTACGCAAGCGAAGGGCCTGAGAAGACTCCTGAAATGCAATCACTGTTTTGACTTTGCTGACAGGCCAAATCGATGAAGAAGGAAATCCGATTCAATCGAATTTGAATGCAAAAAGCTCGGAGAAACGATCGATCTACCCGTTCTGAACAAAACAAGTCCAGTTTAGGGGAAGTTGGACGCAGGGAACAAATTAAACATTTTGAGAAAAAAGTCCAGTTTACAAAATTGTTTGAACCGGCAGTTGGGGAGGATGGTGTGTTTGAATTTCCGGTGGCACACTGAAATTGTTTGATCCCCGGTTAGCGAGCATTATAAGCATCTCATGTTCCTAGCGATTCAAAATAGTAATGAGCAGTTGCATAAATCTTAATCGAGATTTCTTGCTCGTCGATGGGCAAACATTGTTGGAAAAAACCAACTACGGGTTGTGTTATACATCTTTGAGAAATGGAAATGAGCAAACTCAACTGAGTAAAGTTGCAAACGCATCAGGTCGGAAAGGGCAGTTAATTTTAGAAGTTTTAGATTGGGAAATTCATTTACACGACAATGTCCTGACCCTCTTACATCTCTTGAAGACAGAACCGTCCTGGTTGTATTCCCGTTCAGAACTTACTCGAGAAAGCATAATTAACAACATCTGATCAAATTGTCATGAGCGCACCTCACCTTTAGGGAAACCTCCGTATCTCAAACGACGCGGTAGG